ATGGATGGAAAAACAGCTCTTGGAGCATCATCACCGGCAAATCCGGCTTTGCACATACCGGATCCATTATCAATAACTAAAGCGGCAACATCATCGTCACACATTTTGGCAGATCTAAATTCGAAAGTTTTTAGGAGAAAAAAAATTCGTTAGAAAAAATAAAAGGCAACAAAGAAAAAATTTCAAAACTTAATGATGCAATGGAAAACACCCTAATCCTATTTATATATGCTTTAAAACAAACGATTAGAACTTACAAGAAAATGTAATTTGGTTTTCTTTACAACAAAAAATAAAAATTAAAAAAATTGGTCAGTAATTGATTGTTGAACAAAATTTTCGAATATATTGAAAATATATTGTCGGAATGCTGAAAATAAACACACACAAGTCACAGAAGAAGAAAAAAAAAACAAAACCGTTGTAATCTTTAACAAACGAATGGAACAAAGGCCAATGATGGAATGATTGAACAAAAAAAAAACGTTAAAATAAATATCGAATGATCAAAAAAAAAGTTGTAATGAAAGAAAGAAAAATGAATGGGGCGAAACCGGCTTTTTTTTCTACTTTATAAATATCCAATGCAGATTTTTCCAACATTTGTCCAACACATTCGAAAAAAAAATATATTAAGGTGGTAATGTTGTAGTGGTATGAAATTGTGTTACGCAAAAAAAAAAAAAAATTTGATACAAGGTGGTTGTCTATTTTGGCTATTTCAAACTCCATAAAAAAAAATCAGTCAGTGGTTATATGATATACTCAATTCTATACTCATAGCCTATCTTACAGGCGTGGTTATTTCAATTCAAAAACTTGAAAAATTATGACCATATTTGGAAATGTTTTTTTCATTTTTTACAAATATCGATCCGAAAGGCGGAGATTGTTTGGTTTGGTTAGTGTGCAATGATGATGATAAAGTTGTTGTTTCTTTATCTCATGAAATCTTTGTTTTTTTTGCACTCTCTACTCCACCAAAATGGAATACCTCTACCCAAGAAAGATAACAACAACAACCACCATCATCAAAATGATGATGATGAAAAATTATTCAGCAACAATAACAATGAAATTTCATCCGCCATGACTCATGCATGTTTGTTGTTGTTTGGTGTATCAATCATGTTTTTTTTGCTGGATCCCAACATTCGCGAATATAATATAGAAAAAAAAGTTATAAGCACAAAAAAATTATAAGCAAACTCCACCGCTGTCATTGCGCCGGCTCATTTCGAATGAATGAAAAAAAAAATGAATTCGATTTTTCGAAATTTCGTTAAGATTCTCAATTTGTTTGAATGAATGAATGAATGATGATTATGAATGATGATGATAATGACCATGATTGAAATGAAAAGAAAAAAAACCGGATTCTTACTCTTTTTTTTCCCCATACTTCTTTATTGGAAAAAATTCTTATCCTATTGCCATTATCAACCAATTGATTAATCATCATCATCATCATCGCCACTTAGAGTGGAAAACAAAAATTATGAAAACCGAAAATATTTTCGGGATGTTTTTTATTTTCCGTGGAGATTTGTGAGCTGGGGGGTGGCTGTTTACATTTGAATGTTATTGGATACTATTGGAAAAAATCAAACATTTGGTGAACACCAGAAAATGATGATTTGTTTTTGGAAAAAAAACAGAAACAAAATTCATTGCCAATGATCAATGCAATGCAATATTGGTTGTTTTTCAATTTGTCAATGATAATATTGATGATGAAACAAACCAAACCAAACCCAAACCCAAAACCTAAACCTAAACAACAACAAAAATATCTATGATGATGACACATTTTGGCGATTCCCTCGATCAATCAATTTCCTTTTTCGATGTTTCAATCCAAACGATATTTCATTCTTTAACCTTTTTTATCTCCAAATCAAACAGGGTGTTTATTTTGTCATATTTATTCCATCCAAAAATTTCATCATTTTCCGCCCTTACCATATTAAAATTTGTCACCTAGTTTACAGGCCTGATTCTAACAGAAAAAAAAATTTTATAACAGAAAAATTGGATTACAACATCAAATGTGGACATAATCGGTAATAATCATAAAAAAACATCATCATCATTATTTTAGCCTACACAAGGCCATCCTACGCACACACAATAATAATTTGGAAACGAAAGTGAAACACTTGGAAAAAAATATGCCGTTTTCATTTTTTTTTTTTTTTTTGAAAATGTTTTGCATCTGAATGCAGCAAACACAATGTCCTAATTCATCCTGTTTGATCTACTGAAATGATTGAATTTTGAAAAATCATGGTTATGGTAAATAACCGAATAGCAATATTAAAAAAATGTGACAATCATTATCATCATCATATGGTATCGCCCACCTGAATTTTTCCATTTTTTTTCCGACTTTCTTTCAATTCGGTTAACGTTGTTTGATCAATGAACCTTGAAATGTGTGCAAAAAAAAAATCCCATAGAATCAGATATACAAAACATTCGTGCCTAACATTCATAAACAAATTTCTCGATAAATTCATTTCCAAAGCAAACACAGAACAAACAAATTAACCGATAACATATGGATGTCATCATTAACGTTGACTATGTTTTATTTTATTTTTCATTGAATGTCGCGTGTCTAGCGTTTGGTCGGATTAAACTACCATGTTGCAAAATAGAAAAAAAAGCTGGTCAAGAATTAGGCTGGCTGACCAGATGTATCACAGGGGAGATTCTTACCAGTTGTCTGGTTTTTATATGAATTTTGTTTGGCGAACAAACAAAAAAACGAAACATGTGTTTACCATTATTATTA